CCCCCCCCCCCCCCCTCCCGCCCCTCTGACGCCACCCGCTGGGCCTCCCCCGCTCCCTTTTCCAGTCTGCTTCCGGACCATCCTCGGTGTGGAGACATGTCCCCGGCTGGATCGGTACAGCCCGGCCCACGTCAATGCCTACTTCAGTGCGGCGACGCAGATCGTGGCGACCTTCGCGCCGCCATCGGCCAGCGCCGCCGGGTCCGGGGTCGGGTCCGGGACCCCCGGATCGCCGACATCCGGTCGCGGGGCCCGGTCCCATGCGGCCCCCGAGTACAATGGCGAGAAGATCACCCGGCTCTTTGATGTGTTGTACCAGAAGATCTTGGCCACCCGGCCGGCCCTGGTTCCGGGCGAGACGGAGGACGACTATGCCGACATCGACCTGGATAGTCTGCTTTCCTGCTTCTCCGAGTATGTTCCGCCCATCGGCCCATTTGTGCACTTATGCGTGGCCATGGTTGCCACTGCCCCCTGCTGACTTGCTCCTCTGTGTCCCACTCCCCCCCCCCTCCCCCCTCTCCCTCTCCTCCCTGGTCCGTCTTCTCGCTGATTCGTCCCCTCCTGCGTCCACTGCAGCTACCATACACTTGAGCTGCACGAGGTGGAGCCCGGGGCCTTCACGCCGATTGGCGGGAAGCCCGGCTTCGGGCCGGCCTCGGTGCCCTCGCCCTCGGCCGAGGGTTCACAGATGGCCACTTCCGGAGCATACTCGGCGCTGGAGCGGATCCTCGAGCGGCACCTGCCAGATGCGGCGGCTGCCAACGCCACGTCGCTGCAATCGACGGCCAAGCCCTCGGCGGCCAATGCTGCCGGTGCTTCGAGTGCCGGGGCCTCTTCCGGCACCCCCGCCACCGGTGGCACCACCGGCGGTGCTTCAAACTCCACCGCCCCCGGCGAGGCCCCGGCTCGCAGTGTGTTCCGCGTGCGTGTGGCCATCGCTGGCGGCGATTCCATGGTGCAGGCCGTGCTGCTGGCATACGCTCGCCTGCATGTGGCCCGGCCGGATCTGCTGGCGCGTGTCGGTGCGTGCCTCACTCCCCGTGTCACCCCTTGTGTGTGTGTGTGTGTGTGTGTGTGTGTGTGTGTGTGTGTGTGCGTGTGTTCCCTCCGCCCTCCATATCACGCGTTGCTCATTCCCGGTTTCCCTCCCCGCGCCGGACACGCAGCCCCCGTCTTCTACATCGTGCCGATTGGCCGGTCCTTGAAGTTCGCCCATGCCATCTCCCTGTATGATCCCTTCTATGGGCGATACCTTTTGCACCCCCTTCGGTCGGCCCTCTCGGTCCTGCCGGCGGTTGACGATCCGGAGGTATGCAGTCGCCATGGCCGGTCGGACCTCATCGGCGACCTTGATGCGGTCTTGTCACTGCGGTCCTTGAATGCCGTCACGGACATGGTACGAGCCCCGGCTCTGCCTCCCCCTTGGCAACCCTCCCCCATGGGCATGCTTTTCTGCTGGGTCCTGCCCCCCTTCCCTTGCCTCTCTTTCCCCCGCCCCCCGCCCCCCCTCTGACGGTGTTCCTTGCTTTTCTCCTCCTCCTGCTTCTCCTCCTTCCTCTTGCCGACTGGCTTGCACACGGCCAGGGTGGCTACTTTGACGCGTCGCGCAATGCGGTCATGTCGCCGATTGCCTATACCCGGTCCCTGCTGGACCAGCACTTCCGGACAGCCACCTCCACGATGCATGTGCGTGTGCCTCGTTCATCCTTGTCTTCTTGATCCATGCCTCCGCCCCCCCCTCCCCCCCCTTCTCACCGCCCATACGGCCTGTTGTTGTTGTTGTTGTTGTTGTTGTTGTTGTTGCTGTTGCTGTTGCTGTTGCTGTTGTTGGACCTGTGACAGTGGAAGGTCTTCCAAGTGCAGTACTGGCAGAAGGCACGCGACAGCAAGGAGGACTTCTCCGGCGGCGTGGTCATCCCCTTCATGGGATCGGTCGAGGTGGGCAGCCATGTGTCGACGGCGGTGGCCTTCGCCTCGGAGGTGACCTCGTCGCTGGGCATGCCGGGCAGCGACCCCGGCGCCTTCGCCGGGGGTGACGGATCGCTGGCCGGGGCCGAGCGCCCGGCCCAGACCACCTCGCCGGCGGTGCTCGGCCAGCTGACCACCGCCTTTGGGGCATTTGTCACGACAAACTTCACTCAGCCGGCGGCCAGCCTTTGTGCCGGTGGTTTGTCCGTGTCGCGCTTGCGTCGGGCACGCATTTCCTCGGCCACCGGGGCCGGGGCCACGAGCGCCCTCTCGGCTACCGGGGCCGGGGCCGGGGCCGGGGCCGGGGCAGGCTCCGGGGCAGGCTCCGGGTCCGGGTCCAGCTCCGGGTCCGGCCCCTCTGCCTCGGTTATCCGGCAGCTGAAGCACACGGCGCCGGAGCTGGCCATCTCCTACACGGACCTCTCGGTGGGCGGTGGCTTTGGAATGCGCCGGACCCTTCCTTCTCGGTCGTACCACTCGGTCCAGGTCAGCAGTTTGCCCCGGACAGCCGATCATGGGCACCTGGTGCACCCTTTCTCCGATTGTGTGGAGCTGTACATGTTCGAGGCGGACCCGGTGCGTGAGCCATCGCTGTGGCGCCTTGCTGGATCCCGGCTGAAAAGCATCTCACTTGGCGAGGGAGGAGGGGCTTCGCTCTGCTGACAGGCTGATTGCCCTCGTTCGGCCTTTGGCTTTTCCTTTTTTTTCTTTCCCCCTCCCGGCTTTGGGACATGCGCAGTCTCGTCGCTCGCGCAACAAGGTCACCCAGGCCACGGCTCTGGCGGTGTCTCAACTCCAGCCGGCCCCTGCCCCGCTGGCCTTCCCCCAGCTGTTGGACTTGTCATCATCGCAGGCGGTCGTGCTCGATTCGAATCTCCTTTCCTCGCCGGCCGGAGTGCCCGTGGGCCCGGGCGCCGCGGCGCTCCCGGCCTCGGGTCAGTCGGCCGATTCCGGCACCCCCGGCGGGGGTACCAGCCCTCTGCCGCGGGATCTGGCCGACAGCTTGGCCCCGGTGGTGGGGGCATCGCTTCGGCAGTCGACGGCTGGCTGGCTGACCGATCAGGCCGAGGAGGGGCACTCCTTCCATGTGAGCAATGCCACGGTGGAGACGGCCAACGGGCGTCCTTTCGATTTGGTGGTCGACGGCCGTCTGATCGAGGGGGTGTTTGCCTTCCGGTGCGTGCCTGTGCCGGGCGCTGCCCCTTGCTTTCCCTTCCCCCTGTCCCTTCACCTGTTCGCTGGACTTTGCGCTGACACTGTTCACACTCTCGCCCCTGTGTCTATTTGTGTTCTCCCGCCCTGCCTTCTGGGCATCCGGGCCTATGTGTGTGTGTGTGTGCGCATGTTTTCGCAGTATTTTGCCCATGCGCCTGAGCGCGCAAAGTGCCGATGGCAGTGGTGGCAGCCACATCACCTTCCCCGTTCAGGCCACGGTGTCGATGGACTCGCTGTTCTGATTATGGGCCCATGCACATCCACGCGTGCCGCCCTATCACACATGTGCACACAGATATATATTTATATATTCATACATGGATGTGTGTGTGTGTCTGTGTGTCTTTCGTGTGCCCACGCGCGCACGCACAGGCGGCAAGTGTCGGGCTACTTGCGCCCCGCCCTCCGGTGGGCGCATTCCTCCCCCGGCCTCGCATTGTCCTGCCCCCTGTTCGCCCGCTCCCTCCCCTCCCTCCTCCCCTCCCCATCACCTCCCTTTGGGGCCGACTTCGCAGGAATAGACTCACCTGCACACAAAGGCACAGAAGCAGGGACACGTAAGGAAAGAGTGCAGGTTTTCAAATTCGCAAATCGACAACCAGGATCGCACCCAAAAGCTTGGGACAGAGGGACAGGGAGAGGGGGGGGGGAAGGGGGGCAGAAGCGAGGGGGGGGGAGCTCCCGGGAAGAGGCAGGGCCGGGCTAGGCCGGCGACGCGCTCGATCTATGGCGCGTCGACACTGGACTTGGCCTTTTTCGAGCGCTTCTTCTTCTTGAGTGTGGCACTGGTCCCGGAGAAGATTGGCGCCCCGCCGGGCAGGGCTGTGTCCGAAGAGGAAGCCCCGGAGGAAAGGAGCCCCTGGCTGGCGGCCTTCAGCTGCTCGGGGTCGGCCAGCCGCTGCGGTGACCCGATGACAATGGCACCGACCGGGCCCAGGTCCAGCGGGACCACGGCGGCCGGGTTGACGCCATGGAGGAAGGGCCGGACGACGGGCTTCTGGGCAGCAGCCTCGGCAAGGATCTGCGATGAAGGGGGTCAGACATTGGGCAAGGCGTGGTGTGTGTGTGTGGGGGGGGGGGGGGAAAGCGCGCGAAGAGGAGGACAGCGGGCGCCAGTGGGCGATGCGCACCGCCTCAAGGGCCGGGTCATGGCCCGATCGAGAGCCCGAAGGCCCGGCCGTGCCGGAGCGCACGCGCGTCCCGGACCCGGAGAAGGGAACGAAGTTGACCCGGCGAGCTTCGGCCGTGGCGGCGGCCAGGCGCGCGGCCTCCAGGGCCTGGCGTTCGCGCTCCTGGCGGGCCGCCTCGGCTTCGCGGCGCTCGGCCTCAGCCCGCTCACGAGCTTCCACATCGGCCGGCGGGGCGAAGTCCACCTCGAGATCGGTCTCAGTGATGGCGATGGCCGGGGCCGGCTTGGTGTCCAGCACCCGGAGTCTGTACACCCGATCGTCGCCGTAGGGGATGGTGATGACATCGCCCTTGGTCAGGGCGCCATACTGGACGAGGCCATGCTCCAGAGTGGCTCGATGGTTGTGGATTTGCAGGAAGTCCTCGGTCAGCGGCTGTAGCCGCACAAAGTTGCCCAGGGGGAGGTTGACATTGCGAACGACGACATTGTCACCGGACGTGATGCCCAGCTGGTCCATCATCTGGCGGTTGGGGGAGGAGGAGAGGCCGGGGCCAGAGGGGTTAGCAAGGGGATGCGCATGCGCAGCTGCATGCCCATGCGTGGCCGCGCATGTGGCCACAAACAAAAGCACGGCAGGAGCGGAGGGGGCGGGCACAGCACGAAGGAGGCGCGCAGATGTGGACTTCGGCAAGCAATGGCCCGAAGGACATTGGGCGGCACGAACCCAGGAGGGGAAGTACACGTTGCCTGGGCACTGGTCGAAGTCGGCCACACCCCCATGGGTGATTCGATCGCCATAGGAGAAGGAGAAAACCATCGGGTAGGTGACCAGATGGTGGGACAGCTCTTGCAGAACCAGGCTCGGCAGGATGACTAGACCGAGGCGCCGACGAGTGGGCAGGTCGGGTAAGGGGGCATGCCGGGCAATTAATCAGTCACCATGGCCGGGACAGGGGGCGCACCTTTCCCGGCGTTCTCAAATTCATTGGCCTTCAGGTGCTTGCTTTCCCGCATTGACCGGGCCCGCAAGAGGACGGTATACACCCGGGGGTCGCCGCGGAGGTGGATGGACATGGCAGCGAGGCGAAGATGCTACCGGGGACAGGGCAGCAGTGAGGCAGGAGGGGATGGAGGGCAGGATAGGGGGGGGGGGGGGGTGGGGGGGGGGGCCGATGATCCTGCGTTCGTCGGCGCGGCAGGCGCCGTGCCGGGGTCTCTTGGCATCAGGACACCGCGAGAGGGAGAGAACTGGGAGAGGGCGCGAATGGCAGAGCGAGCGAGAGTGGGAGAGACAGGGGCGAGGTCCGGGACAGCGAAGATGCCCGAGCACCCTCGGAGCGACCAGGCAGCATCGGCCGACACCGCCAGCCGTCGCCGATCTGCCCTGAGGGGGCAGGGCGGGGCCGGTCGAGAGTGCGCAACACCGATGCGTGGACCGATCCCCTGGGTACGATCGCCCTCTGAGCATGTCCGCCCCCGATTGTCACGGTCTCGGGCCCGGGTTCTCGTCGGGGAACCGGCTAGAGAAGGGCTTCCCTGCCAGGTCACCCCCCCCCCCGGGCACCAGGGAATGTCACAACCAGCTGGGCGGGCCAGCTCCCAACCAGGTCCCAACGCTTTGGCTGTCTGCCGTCGAACCGCGCGCTCATTGGCCGGCGATCTGCCGCAAGACTTCCGGCATCCGTGAGCAAACACGCGTGTTTCGCCGCCGCCACCCCC